CTTAAGGCGTTAAGGAAAGCTCTAACAACGTCATATTAATATATCTTAAGGTTAAACTTAGCTCTAATAGCTATTGCAGTCCTAAAGGTTCGAGCTGCTAGGGTAGCTGCGTAGGTTGAATAAATTAAGTTAGTGAGCTATAGATCTCCTCTTACTACTATCCTTGCTTTGCACTTAATTAGGTAACCATCCTAATTAAGCTTGTATGTAAACACCTATTTAAGTGGGAGTAGACGCTCTCCTGTATTTAGCCTATTGATCTCCTCCTAGGTACTAGCTTTTAGCAGAGTATTAATTTCTTTATATGCTGCGTCTCTGAATTGCTGTCCTATTTGGTAGTTATAGAGATCCTTCTATTGTTTTAGCTCTTTTTGTAGAGCGTCCTGGTGCGTATTTCTTTTAGGGTTTTTAGGGGATTTGCTCCCTATTGCTGCTGCGATTACAGCGTGGATTATAGCGTTTAGTTTAGGATGTACTAAAAGATTGTGCAAGGGATTTCTAATTAGATCCATATCTAATAGATCTATTACTATATATATCCCCGCACTTGTGGAGCCTCCTAGTGGTTTATTAGGGTCCTGTCCCTAAGCTCGCTTACTAACACGCGTTAGTGGCAGTCCTTTGACTCGCGGTTTTCTGCTTTTTCTAGGAGCTCTAGGTGCCGCTTGTGAGGGATCTGCAGGAGATACAGAATCTAGTCCTAAAGCGGGTAGGCGGGAGCTCTGCTTACCACCCCTATAAGAACTAGATTAGGTGCCCTTACCCATCTCTGTGCTCTTATAGAGTGACCTATTAATAGCACTCTCCCCTCTAGGTCTTTTCTAGGAGCTACCTATTGTGGCGTTAAAGTAAGTTAGATTACTACTATCTTAGGTAGTAAGACCCTAATCTATAACCTGCATAGATCCTTTATATCCTGTACTAAAGTTTAGTTCTAGTGTTAGTTTAGGAGTTTAGAGCCCTATTAGCTTAGGGGACTTTGCATAGATCCTTTGTGCTAAGCTGGCCGTGCTTGGTACCTATGCTAGAGGTGTCTGCTTAGGGGGTTGTGAATCACTAGGCTAGCTAGCCTAATTATCTACCTCCTCTAGCTCTACCCTACCCCCTAGCTCCTGCGCTAGGTTTAGTCCTCCTTGCTTACTAGACTCCTTATGTTGCTCTGCCGCAATACAAAGCTAATCAAAGATATTAAGCTCTTTATACGCTTCTCCTGTATCGCAGATCTTATCTTTGCTAATAACATTAACTATCTTTTAAGCTTCTAACTATTAAAGCTGCTCTAGATCTTTCTCTTTATAGAAAAGATCCTTATTAAAGGTAACGTTCTGCGTTGTGATAATCTAATTAAGTAAGGGGATCCATATCCTGTATATATTAGATGCTCTGTATCCTACTAGATATCTAATATAACCCTAAGGGTTCACCTTAAAAACCCTCTTGTGACGCCCGGCTGCTTAATCTTGGTTAAGGGGGTAAGCTCGACAGCTATAGGCGTATATTCCGCTCTAATTAGGGCGGAGATTAGCAGTTGCCTCCCTTATCTGCTCTGGTTGCCACCACCTAAAGTATCTAGTAAACTAACGATCTAGCACTTTGTTAGGTGATATTATATTATAAGCATAAGACAGGCTTATATTATAGAGCCAAGTTGCTGCTTTAACAATTTTAGGCTAGAGCTTTGTTAGTAGGTTAGCACTAATCCTTATTTTGATCGATTTCGTTATAATCTCTTGCCCTACTCTTTCTGCTCCTTTATTAGGTTTATAGGTATATATAGGTAAGCTCTTAATTTTAATACTATTATTAGCTGCCTAGATCTAAAAGCGAGATTTGCCACGCTAAGGGAGCGTTGCAACGTTGTTGTCTTGCATAATCTTGACTATGCTAAGCTTATATTAGTTAAGTATTAAGCTCTTAAAATTTTTGAACACCCGCATGATCTTATTAAGGTTTTTAGCTTGCAGTGGATAGGTATAAAGCTTTCCTAAGTAGTCGCACTTTAATACTAAGATCTATTGCTTGTAAGCTATACCTGTTAGCATGTTAAATAGATCCTATAATACCTAGTAGTATGGACGTGGTGATCTTTCCCTTGGTTGTCTTAATATGACCTGTTGGGCATGTGTAATAGCGTAGTGCTCGCATTTGCTCCTAGGAGTTCCTTTAATCCTAACGTTTATTACTGACTTAACTAGAGCTTTAAGCGCCTTAGGTCCTAAATGGCCTAATTATTAGTGCTAAAGCTCCTCACTGTCGTGTCTTAGGTGAGTTATCTAGGATTATTAGTGTTGTTTAGGCACCATGCTTTGGATTATTTAATAAGGGGTAGAGGGCTTGTATTCTAGGAAAGTTAAGTTAAACTTGCGCAGTAACTTGGCCAATATAACGCTCTTCTCTAATGATCCAAACTGCAAGGTGGCATCTAGCCTAAGGAACCAAACTCCTGCTTTAAGCAATTAAGCTTCTAATATAATATTCACATGAAAACCTTCTACTAACACCACGTTAGTGAGCACCAAATCTTCTGTTTTTGGACCTCTTGGTCTATTAAGAGCATTAGGGATTACTCTAGTCCCTCTGCCTAAGATTAGAAAAGCTTAAGTTCCTGCTTTAACTGTCTTATATTTAACTAATCTAAATAAGCTTTCTTCTAGGTAGCTTATATTATTAACTAGGTGCACTACACCTCTATTGTTAAAGATAGTGCTCTTTAATAGAGCGTAAGCTTTAAAGTCTATGGTTGAATAGATCCTGTTCGTTTTCTCTGCTATTAACATAGGGTTAATTAGTGCCGCCTAGATACTGCCTAGATAGGTGATCGTGCTTGCCTTACTACCATGATCTTGATTGATAGGATAGGACTTGATTAGAGCTTTCCTTAACTCTTTAAATTTTTAATTCCTATTAATCCTTTTCTTAATCTCTAATTGTTAAGTGGTAGTAAGCTTGTTACCTGTATTAGTCCAAGCTTTAATAACGTTTTTGCATTTAGGAGGTTTCTATAGGTAAGATCTACTACATAGGCATAAAGACTCCTTCTTTAGTTAATTAGAAGGTGGAGCTCCTATTATTGTAAATACTCTAGGACCCCTAGAGCTTGATCTTATGTCGTTTTCTTAGAGAAGTAATAAATAGATCTTAGCAACCTGCGGGAGGTTATATGTTAGCTCTCCTATTACTAACTTTTTAATAATCCTTTAAAACATAGTTTAACCCTAATCTAGTAAGATCCTAGTAGATAGAGCTTTAAGATAATCCTGTACTATAAGCTATCCTTTAACATTAGGAATGTTATATACCTTAGCTTGCGTATATAGGATTGTCCACTCCTTTTGCTAGCGATTAGCGTCTTAACTACTTATCTTTGCTTTAGCAAGATAAGCTTTGTACTGCGATCTTGCTAGTGTTGCAGCGCTTGAATTAGTTAGCGCTAGGTTGTTATAGAGCACTTAGATAAGTGCTTAGAGGGTTACTCTTCCTTAATTAACAAGCTCTATATAGGCTAGGGTAAGGATCCCTTAATCTACTGTGTTGTTAACCTATGTGAAGAGGTTCTAGATTGCTGATGACTTTAATGCCTAATCTAATAAGCAGGCTTAGTACTAAGCTATTTAGAGCTTGTACTGCTTGCTCGTTATATTAGATAGCGCGATATTTGTTGGCATGTTAGGCTTAATAGGTTTATTCTTAAAGTGGTTTTTAGCATCTAGAGCCTTAGGGTCTACCTCTGCCTAGATCCCTTTAGTTAGGGCATGGTATCTAAATTGAATGTACTAGGTGGGCCAGTTGGTTAATCTAGTAAGTAGGATATCCCCCTTTAGGATTTAGTCGCTTATAGTAGAAGAGTAATAAGTAAGCTTCTGCTTAAGAAATAGTATAAAGAAAGAGTGAAGCTTTGCTAGCTTAGTGTCCAAGTTAAACAATACGCTTAAATGGATAGGACGATCTTTAATAAGGTAAAGCGCGAACTAGGCTTATAACTGTGGAAAATTAGATCACTAAGGTTAGGAATGATTTAGGAGATGGATTATTGGATTGTATCTACTACGATCGGACTTATATATATAGAGCTTTAGCTACCCTTACTAGAAGGTGAATAATTAGTAAACCTTCCTTACCAGAGCTCCTGCTTTTTGTTGGGCGCTTGGCAGTGAGCTGGCAGTTAATTAGATAGTGGGTCATACAGGGGTATTGATCGGGATTGATCGGATCAAGATGCTCCGTGATCCGGTTGATATCCCTCCTGCAACACTTTTCTATATAGACGCGCACTCCTATATGCCCTTAAGTCGTATAGGATACCTTTTGGATGCCCTACCTACCTGCGTCGTTACACTCACCACCTCGGTATAAGGTAAGCACTATAGGTGATATAGAAATAACAACAATGACTAAGATATTGTATATCTGTACTGTACCGGCATGTAGATACCTACAGGTACGATACACACAGACAACGCACATCCCACCCACCACTATCATCCCACCGCACAGTACACAGTACTGTACCGGTACAATATACACCCTCAGCCCTAATTATGTGCAAGGACCACCAGGCCCCATTTCCCGGGTTCCGCTATGCACGACAGTCGCTACCTGGATTGCACAACAGCGCACGAGGTTGATAAGTAGCACGAGTGTGTATAATGGTTGACTACCTACGCAAACGAGGGATACGCGGGTGTTGGCTACATCGCTGTCACACCCGAGCTCAGGCTTGTAAGGGGAATGGTGTGTGGGTTGCACTGTCACGTCTACATGTGTGTTGACTATGTTTTATATTGCATATCCAATCCATAGGCTATGACATAATACCTACCAGTCCATACCACTACCCAAACACACCACACACCACCGTTCAATATAAGCACCCCCTCCCCAACAGCCGAAGAAACACCAGGCGCCAAAGGCATCCAGACCGCTCTTCACAACCTGTCGAATCGGATCCTGGGGAACCCATCCAACTTTGCCACACAACCAAGTGTTGCACAATAGCAGACCTACGCTATGTACATACAAGACCTTCCGCAGCTGGGCCAAGTCAGTGCGATTCCCAGTCTACGGTGCCAGTGCGGATGACTGTAAATAGGAATGACAATGCGGCACCTGCGCCATGCAACCGCGGATTTCCCGTGCATACTCATGTGTACATTGGGACAATCGCGTCTTTGCTGCTGCGTTGTCGGATCCTCATTAACCATGGGTCGATCGGGATTGCATGCCGCAGCGTGCTAGTTTGAGGCTGTCATTTCGGTGCTTTCTTGGACACGGGGGTACCGGCATATACCCGCCTGTCATACCATAGGGTACCGGTACGGTATATACGGATTCCCCGTGCGTGATATCGAAGCTGCAGGGAAAATCATGGATGCTACCGTACCCACAATTCAAGTACGAAACAAGTACTTGGAAATCATCCCCCCCCTCCCCACTCTCGGCACCGATATCATACATCCTAGCGACTCGTCCTGCCGGTAGGGCGGCAAGTGCGACGGCGGTGCCTTACGGTACCGTATGCATGTCGTGGCGTGGCGTATCGGCGCCGTGCATGCGGCTGCGGCTTCACTGCCCGACGCCGCGTCGCCTCTTCACCGGAATCAAACATGTTCGCGGCGCGGCAATGGGGGAGTCGGATGCAGTGCAGTGCGGTGCGGTGCGGTGCGGTGCGGTGCGGTGCGTTGTAGACGGTACGTGTCAATAAGCTGTTGGTGAAGCGTCAGACTGTGGTTACCGGTACAACTTTACCAGGAGAAGAGCCGCTGTGTTGCTGGTCGTGCTATTTACGGTACCGGTATGCCCCACGCTGGAGGTCTGGAAAAAGGTGCATAGCGTCTAGGATTTGTGTTTCTTGGTTAGTATAATACTACAATACATACTAGTACCGGTACATACGATGACGCGGTTCCATGCTTCAGCAGCTGGATCCTGCAGATATCGTAGTGTGCCATTTGATGTACTTAATTTACAGCAGCAGACACAATAGAGTTGTAAGTTTTTCTGCGTTTGGATGCAAATTTCACTCATCGTAGATCAAGTAGTACTTGTGTAGCCGAGTGTTTATGTTCAGCCAGGTCGAGGCTGGGAATACGAGACACATTGGAAGAAACTGGCGAGTTTCTTGTCCTCACATGACATTTTTGCTTTGCTAAGTTACTGGGATTGATGTACCGGTACCTACAGTAGGTTTAACATTCTGCAACTTCATCTTTAACTACACTATAACGATCTCTTCCCATATTCTACCCAATGACCCTACGCCAGCCCTCCAGCAGTAAAACATGCAACACCCATCGCACAAAACTGTGCACCCAATGCCACTTACCCATCTTCACCCATGCTGATAGACGCATCAAGCCCAGATACTTTTCCCCCTCTTTCCCTCTCTCCCACTATCCTGCTTCCCCGCATAAGCAAAGAGACGAGCGGGTGGGGAAGCCCGTGTCCACGATGATGTAGAGAAGTGCCGTGAAGGGTAGAATCAACAATGGACAGCACGATGCACATCAGACTCAAACTTAATCTGCGTGTATAACGGAGCTTTGGGGGTTGAATGTAAATGGGACCGTCATGTCTTCTATGTCGCGGCTCAGCATTGTAAATCACACATCTCACGTCTTGCCATTAACCACTTCCCCCAACTAGCAAGCATCAAGTCACATCTTGAGACCCAATCTCCGACTGTAAACATGCAAACAGAAAACACATCCCCTATCCTAACTATACTATACACTTTCTCCACCAACCCACCAATCCCCCCTTTCCCCTCCCCACCCAAAAACACACCCAAACCAAACCCAGAAAAATCAGACTGAATGGAGATTGATAGTATTGATGTCAATGTCATAACCCCCCGCCCTGCACACCTGAGCCATTAAAAAAACCCGCAAACCCCAAAAGAAACAAAAAAACACCGCCCCCCACCCCCTCTCCCCATCCTCCATCATATCCTCCCCCAACCCCCAGAAGTAAAAGACCGAACAAAATCGCAACAAAAAAGGAGTGGGAGAGAAAACAACGTTTTCACTTTCCTACATCGTCTGAATGTTTACCTTTTTTTTTGAAACAAAAAGTTAGGTAAAGAAAGAAAGAAGAAGAGGAAACGCCGCCCAATGCTCCCTTTCTCTTTTCTCTTTTCCCCCTTTCCCCGTTTCTTCCTTCAATCATGCTTGATCATCATCATACCTCTTCAGTCGTCGAGATCGTCCGTGTACAAGATGATGTTCTAGCACATATTCGTCCGTTCGCTCTCGTACATGGTGTTGTTGCGGATGAGGTGGGGTAGGGGTCGGGTATTACATATGGTACAAGGCCGGGGGGGAAGGCATGACTCCCAGCGCCAACGTAGTATACAAACGTGACAACGCTTTTTTCTCATGCATCATCAGGCGGTGTATTTGATGGAGGCGTTTAAAGTGCCATGGAGGGCGCTTGTCTCCTGTCGCCGCCGAAGCCACCACCACCACGTCGGTCGCCGCCGAAGCCACCACCACCACGTCGGTCGCCGCCGAATCCACCACCACCACGTCTGTCGCCGCCACCACCTCGGGAGAAGCCACCACCACGTCTGTCGCCGCCAAAGTCACCGCCACCCCTTCGGTCACCACCAAAGCCACCACCGCCGCCACCTCGACCTCCAAAGCCGCCACCACCTCGTCTGTCACCGCCACCTCGCCTGTCACTACCAAAGCCTCCATCGCCGCCTCCCCGCCTATCACCTCCGAAGTCTCCACCACCGCCACCCCGTCTGTCACCACCAAAGGATGAACGGTCACGGAAGCCTGAGCTAGACCCTCCCCGGCGTCCACGGGTGTTGAAGAGAGCAGAAGGTGGAGGGGGAGGAGTAGGCATGCCCCAACCAAGCTCTGCCAGACGGTTCGCCCCCTCGAGGAGCTCCCGCTTGTCGCCATACCACTGGTATGCGCCAAAGAGACCACGGAAAGCACCGTCGAGCTGGTCAGGGTAGACCTTGCTGTGTGCTTGGAGGCATTCGGCTAGGATCTTGCCAATGTTCTCTGGGACATCGGTCTGCTGAGACAGATCAATGGCGGGGCACTCGTATTCAGATGTAGCGTCTGCGAGGGGCAGATTGTTGAGACGACGGCGGACCTCGCTCCTCTCATAGCGAGAGAGAATGAGCCAGCCCTCACCTTCCTTGCCGGCACGGGCCGTGCGGCCAAGACGATGGATGTATGTGTCGCGGTCACGGGGAAGACCGACTTGGATGACATGTGTCACATTTGGGAAATCCATGCCACGGGCCGTAACGTCGGAAGAGAAGAGCACACCCGAATCTGCAAAACGGAAGTTATCAGCGGCGCGTGTTCGCTGTGCTTGCGTCAGTTTGGCGTGAATTTCGAAGGTGCGCAGGCCAGCGAGGGAGGGTCCTCCAACGTTCTGAGCCGCATCGCGCATCTCGCGTCGGCCGCTCTTGGAGCCCGCAGTGATCTTGTAAAAGACGGAAGCTGCGAGGGTGACCTCGGCGGTGCTGTTGAAGTAGATGATGGCCTTGAAGGGACGGGCATTACCAGACCGACCGGCGTCGTGTGACTTGGCCATGAATTCATACAAAAAGGGTATGATATTCTCGAAGCCATTGACGTTGACGTACTTTTGGGGCACGCGCTCATGTGTTGGTGTTTCCTCGTCAGAGACACACTTGGCGAAGTGGAAGCCGGGACGCATGGTGTTACGGACAAGGTGGACCACGTCGCGGGGAATGGTGGCGGAAAACATGAGATTTTGGCGTTCGCGCTCTGCAGGATCGGGCAGGAATGTCTTGATCTCATCAATCTCCTTGGTAAAGCCCTCGTCCATGAGGCGATCAGCCTCGTCCATGACCAGTGCATCCAGATTTGGGGCCTTGATGCCCGAGTAGTCGTCGGACAAGATATCCAAAATACGACCAGGTGTGCCGATGAGCAGATGGCAACCCTCGCGCAATGTCTGTTGGAGCATTTGCCGCTTCTGTGTTCCGCCCACCGCAGTTTGGACGATGATGCCCGTGTTCGCCGTCACCTTCTTGGCCTCGACAGCAATCTGCTCTGCCAGCTCACGCGTGGGGGATATGACGATTCCACGGATGTCATCGGCCCTTGCACGCTTGTAACCGCGAACCCTTTCGCCCAGCCCGGGCTCGTTTTGGATGATGCGTTGGATGACGGGGATGAGAAAGCCCAGTGTTTTACCAGTACCTGTCCTAGCTTGGGCGATGCTGCAGCTGGTTAGTGCTCTGTACAGACACCTGCTATCGAGAGGAGATGGACGGGCTACTTACACATCAACGCCACTCAATGCCTCGTTGATCGTCCGCGTCTGCACATCGGTCATGTTCTCCAGACGCATCTTCTTCGTAATGGTGTCGATGAGGTTGGGGTGGACGAGCCCCCGTGTGCCCAGCTCCTTGAAGGTAGTAATGAGGCCATTCTGCGGATTACTCTCCGCAGCCTGTGCCTCTGCTGCTGCAATTTGTTGCCACTTTGTGCTGTGGTGGAAACCTGCAAACGAGGCCTGGGCCAGGCGCGAGGTCTGCAGCGGTATCCTCAACACAGTCGAGGAATGTGTGAGGGGGGTGCGAAGGACTCGCGAGGATACAGCCGCCGTCGAAATATTTCTCGATAGCGTCGCGGGACCTCTTCGCAGTGCGGCAAACATGATGGATGGGTTGGTGCGATGTGGTTGCGAGACAACAGTCCGCGGTGAAGATTACAAATGAGAGATGGACAATTGCCTATACAGTCGGCCAAAAGACGACTTCTCGAGGTGAATAGACGTCGCCGCAGTAAATATGTGCAGGCGATGGACGATGGCAGAGTGGTTGTCTGATGTCTGTTGCCCTCTCCCTGGAAGTCCACCTACGAACTTTTTTCGAGGGACGTGCTTCCGAAAAAATACACGCTAAACCACAAGCAGACTCGCCACATTTGACCGATAAGATAGCACTGGAACACTTCAGCCAGGTAGGGCTGCCCCATTCCCGGAACACACATACATCCTCTACTACACATGCGCACTCTTGCTCTGTCCGAAGAATTGCCAAATAAATCTCCCTCTAGTTACAATATAGAGTTCAGCAATACATCATATCATGACTTTGAACCTTTGAACCCATTTGAAATGCCCATTCGTTAAATCATGCCTATGTCCATGCCCATGCCCAAACTTATATGCAAAACGCCATCCATACCCATCGTTGATGCTCACTGCGCTCTAGCGCCGCCTTCATTGCTCATCTTCGCCGCACTCACCTCCTCCAAACCCTGCTGAATTCCCCCAGTCACCCCTCGAATCCACCATAGAGCCATGTCATGAAGCGCCTGGCCCACCCTGCCCTCGTTCATCTGGCACACCGTCTGCGAGAGCCGCAACCCCCCGCGACTCATCTCATCTACCGTCATAACGCCTGTGTTGACCATGCGATTGGTGATCTGATATTTCCTCTCAAACTGGTAAGCTGACGAGATGAGGAGTCCGATATAGGGTAGAAGGAATTGTAGAATAGCAAAGGTGTGAAAGATGACGGCGGCAATGATGCGTTGGAGTATGGTTTGGTCTTGTGGAGATGGTATAGTCTGCACTTTCGTGGCTCGCTGGCTCGCCGGTGCCCAAGCATACTCTTCCACCATAGCACCCTTGTCCGCCAAAGCTGTTGGAAGAGCAGCATGGAGACTCACTATCTCTTCTTGTGTCAGCTCCGGCGGCAATCCTCGCAACAAATAGGTAATGCCATGTATGTATAGCTGTCGCGTGAGGGACGCCGATATCTCGTCGATATCTTGGAGAAGCATGTTCGATTCGCGCTGCGCCTGAGTGATTAGATTCCTGCCTGAATTCGGTGAGTACGCTTGCAGCCAGATCACGTCCGTGTACAAACCCACCTTGACTAGCATATTTCCAGTTGATCCCAGTAGCCGTCTCGTGCGCACCCAGCATGGGAACTGGAGCGCTTCCTGACAGGCTCGATTGCTCTGACGCATCGTCGGAGAAGTCGAACTCAGTTTCTGTGAAGCCAAGTGAGAAGTGATTAGGTGTTGCACTGCTGCTGCCAGGCCGTGTAGAATAACCTGGAGGGGGTGTCGTTGGCTCGGATGCAACCGACAAGGAGCTAGATTTGCTGTGTAAACCGCGGTTGCGCACCTCGTTGAGCGACTTTCGGAGTGAAGGGAGTGTTGGAAGGCGGCTCGTGACTACCGTGGGCAGCATTTGATAGAGCATGCTGGGTTGAGCAGGCTTTGGGGGTTCCAAGGCAAAATCCGTTTCTGTTTCCACGTTGGAAATCCTCATTTAATACACTCGCAATGTATTGTCGGCGTGAATGCTTTTCGCGTGCTGCAGGGGCCGTATCGTTGAATCCGCTCAACCAGAGTTGACCGCAAACGGGTACCGCAAAAAGGATCGATCAGCTTGTGAGGAGATAAGCATCGAAGACATGGTCGCAGGATTTTGGCGATGCCGTTCCCGCAAAGCGGCTATTCTCGTTTCAAAGGCCATTCTTCAGGCCGAGCATGGGTCTGAAGATTGAATTGAGGGAAAGCATGTGAAGATTGTCTGCTCGATAACGGCGCAACAGGGTCCATGGTTGCGATTACCGAGCACTTGAGCGCCAATCAGCACACCTCAACACCAACGTGTCCTGCGCATTGCTTAACTTGGTCTGCGTAGCATGGCTCATCCTGAATTTCACATCTCCCAGACCATTCGCAAAGACACAAGTTCCATGGCTCTACCGAGGCTGCGCGCGTAACCGCCGTGTTCGCGTACCCTCCACCCTAACAATATATTAACCACCACAAATATAAGGATATTAAGCCACGTATAGTAGGTATTATTGCAAGATTTTCTAGGGTATTAATAGATAGTAGTAGAGCTATTATATACTATATATATTAGCCTAGCAGAATAATATTCCGCCTATAGCGAGTAGTAGGTGGCAGAGGTTGTAAAGGGCTTAGGCATAAGCCTAAGCCTAGGTCTAACAAAAGATAGATAGAGACTAACACTACTACTAAGTAAACACGCTACACACCTATAAAAAGGCGTAGAGAGCTTACCTCTCCTTTAAGATACTAAATACTATTATTAACACTTATTATATTCTCTCTTAACGCTAGTCTATAATATTTTAGTATCTTCTTCTAAATATACTATAATAGTAATAGAGATAGACATACTAGATATTTAGAATAGTTAGGTGCAACCTAATATAGTAAAAAGGCTAATAGAGTAGGTCTAAGGATTAATAGAATAATAAGCTTAAGACTCTACTATAATAGCTATACTATATTAATAGAATAAGGAAATACGTAGTTAGATACTACTATAACCTACCTCTAAGCCTACTATTTTTAATAACTAATTACTACTACCCTCTTCTACCTTATATTATAAACCTTTTCTAGTTAGCTTACTATATAATAGTATATGTAATAACATAGGTAGGTAGGGCATCTAAAAGGTATCCTATATAACTTAAGGGTATATAGGAGTGCTATAACAATATATAGAAATCTAGATTACTAAGGTTAGGAATAATTTAGGAGATAGATTATTAGATTATATCTACTATAATTAGACTTATATATATAGAGCTTTAGCTACCCTTACTAGAAGGTAAATATTTAGTAAACCTTCCTTACTAGAGCTCCTACTTTTTATTAAATACTTAGTAGTAAGCTAGTAGTTAATTAGATAGTAGGTTATATAGGGGTATTAATTAGGATTAATTAGATTAAGATACTTTATAATCTAGTTAATATCCCTCCTATAACACACCCCTTAGGTATAGGTAGATCTTTTATTATTATAGTTATACTTATAGTTAGTAGGTAGTATAGCTAATTAGAGTATTATATATCTAAAAGGTTAAATTAGCTTACCCTTTAGATACTAACTAGCGCGCCTTCTTTATTTAGCCTACGCTTACACACTTAGATATTACCTAGACTAAGCTCTATAACTTTATTTACTTAACTATAATCTTTACTATAGCTTAAATTATAAGATTATATAACTCTAAAGATCTAAACTATACTTATATCTTTACTAACTTATATCTTAGTTAAAGTTAAAAACTACTACTTATACTTACTCTACTTATACTACCCTTATTACCTCTTATACTACTAAAGCTACTATTACTAAAGCTACTACTACTAAAGAAGGGTATACTACTACTAAGTATAAGGCTATTATAAAGCGTATAGTAGCTAAGTATATAGCTACTACTACTATAGTTAAGATTAAGAAGCTAAAGAAGGGCGCTTCTACCTTAGCTCTTACTACTCTAGCTCTAACTCTAACTCTAGCTCCTGCTTCTCCCTAGACCCTACCTAATATTCCTACTCCTACTTCTACTCCCTCTTTAGCTCCTAAGGAGACCCTAAGATCCTCCTACTATAGAGAGCCTAGTATTTATTATACTAAAACTTATCTAAATTATTTATACTTTATACTCTTTAATAAGTCTAATAGTAAGTGCTATAACTCTTCTAATAGGGGGACTTAGTACTAGTAGTACTCCTCTAGGTATAGCTATATCCTAATATATATAATTTATATAAGAATTTTTCCTTTATAATACTTAGTAAGATCTATACTAATAAACTAATAGCCCTAAGCTTGCCTAATATTCTATACTATCCTTCCTAGTAAGGAAGTAAGTAAGTAAAAGCTAAGACCTTCTTAAGGATAAAAAGTAGAGGGTCTTAGTACTCCTTAAGGAGAGTAAGGCTAAGTAGTAGAAGCTAGTAAAAGCTACTACTACTACTACTAAGCTTACACGTAAGGCTAATACTATAGCTAAAGGCGCCTAGAGCTCCTTATTAGAAGATAAGGACTCTAGCTTCTCTAAGGTTCCCTTTATAGATTCTAGGCTAGGGTAACCTAGGTAGCTCCTTATAAACTCTAAGGCACGCTTTACACGCGTAATAGAGCTCCTTAGTAAAGCTACCTAGTTAATAATAGAAAGGTAGGCTATAGTTAGTTATTCTTATATTATATATTAATAGATCTTATATACTACCTTACTTTAATTAATACTATATAATATATACTCTACTATTATATAACTTTAGGTACTCCCTAAACCTTATAAATTATTATATAGTTAGGTTTTTAATAAGCCTATTAGCTAGTATATTACTAGTAGGTAGGTAGGTAATATAGAAAGATCCCTTTATATACTCTTATCTAAGCTATATATTTTAAATATCTATATAGCGTAGCTTAGTAGTAATCCTTTTATTATTACCTACTACTAACCTAATAGTTTATTAATTATTATAATTAATTATCTAGGTAGTATCTAAAGTAAGGTGTATTTTAGTTAAAAAGCGTTTTAACGCTATTACCTCTTTACTTACTTACTTAAGCGTAAGGAGCTCTACCTTAGTAGTTAAAGTAGTAATAGTTACTTATTAAGCTACCTTCTAAATAATAGGTCCTCTAAAGAGCGTAATTAGGTATCTATATAATAATTACTAAGTATTAATATTATTAGTAAATAACACATTACTATATATTATAAGCTTATTAGGATCCCTATTCCTATATTAGATTAATTAGTATTAAGTTTAGTATAGATAGATAATTACTTAATTAACTATATTAACGTGTTATTTAGATAGGTTAGTAAGGTATTAGGAGAGCTAGGAGGCTATATAGGTAATATTAGGGCGCACTATAATTAAGGTGTAAAGGATTAATCTAACGCGCTCCTAATAGTCCTTAATCTCTTTTTTAGTAGCTTCTCTTATACTCTTTTTAATATCTTTACTTTATAGTAGTGTAGTAGGGAATTTTCCTATCTTTACTAGATTAAATTTCTTTATAATCTTATTAATATATTTATTATAAACAAGCGTTATTATCTATCTCTTTCTATCCTAGATTACTCTTACCTCTAGAAACTAGCTTATAGGTCCCTTTTCTTCTATAGTATATCTTTGCTTTAGAGCTTAGATAACTTTGTAAGCTTAGCTTATATAGTTTTAGTAATAGAGTAATAGGATATTATCTATATAGAATATTAACAAGATACTACAATCTCTATTAAAGAATAGGTATAGCTTCTCTTTAGAAGTAATAAGCTTATTTTCTTAGAGTATAGTTAAGAGCTTATTATACTATAATAATAGTAAGTCTTTTAGTCTATATAGAGCTTATTTAAGCTTAACGCACTTCCTAGGTATTTAATATCCTTTAGGTAGCTTATAGATAACTATAGGGTGTTAATCCCTTAAGGCGTTAAGGAAAGCTCTAACAATATTATATTAATATATCTTAAGGTTAAACCTAGCTCTAATAGCTATTGTAGTCCTAAAGGTTTAAGCTACTAGGGTAGCTGCGTAGGTTAAATAAATTAAGTTAGTAAGCTATAGATCTCCTCTTACTACTATCCTTGCTTTACACTTAATTAGGTAACTATCCTAATTAAGCTTGTATATAAACACCTATTTAAGTAGGAGTAGATACTCTCCCTTATTTAGCCTATTAATCTCCTCCTAGGTACTAGCTTTTAGTAGAGTATTAATTTCTTTATATACTATGTCTCTAAATTACTATCCTATTTAGTAGTTATAAAGATCCTTTTATTATTTTAGCTCTTTTTATAGAGCGTCCTAGTGTGTATTTCCTTTAGGGTTTTTAGGAGATTTGCTCCCTATTACTACTATAATTATAGTATAAATTATAATATTTAGTTTAAGATATACTAAAAGATTATATAAGGGATTTCTAATTAGATCTATATCTAATAGATCTATTACTATATATATCCCTATACTTATAGAGCCTCCTAGTAGTTTATTAGGGTCCTATCCCTAAGCTTGCTTACTAACACGCGTTAGTAGTAGTCCTTTAACTTATAGTTTTCTACTTTTTCTAGGAGCTCTAGGTGCCGCTTATAAGGGATCTACAGGAGATACAGAATCTAGTCCTAAAGCGGGTAGGTAGGAGCTCTGCTTACCACCCCTATAAGAGCTAGATAGGGTGCCCTTACCTATCTCTATGCTCTTATAGAGTAACCTACTAATAGCACTCTCCCCTCTAGGTCTTTCCTAGGAGATACTAATTATAGCGTTAAAATAGGTTAGATTACTATCCTCTTAGGTAGTTAATCCTTAATCTATATCCTATATAAATCCTTTGCCTCCTATACTAAAATTTAGTTCTAGTATTAGCTTAGGAGTTTAGAGTCCTATAGGCTTAGGGGACTTTATATAGATCCTTTATACTAAGCTAGCTATACTTAGTACCTACGCTAGAGGTGTCTGCTTAGGGGGTTATAAATTACTAGGCTAGCTAGCCTAATTATCTACCTTCTCTAGCTCTACCCTACCCCTAGCTCCTATACTAGGTTTAGTCCTTCTTGCTTACTAGACTCCTTATATTACTCTACTATAATACAAAGCTAATTAAAGATATTAAGCTCTTTATATACTGTTTTATATTATAGATCTTATCTTTACTAATAACGTTAACTATCTTTTAAGCTTCTAACTATTAAAGCTACTTTAGATCTTT